CGTCAGTGGGTAGCGAGGATGGAGACGCTAACTATCCAGACAAACGAAGGTTGCCAGGCATTTCGAGGACCCGGGGGCTGTTGTAAATGGGATGTTTTCTTGGTTTCTCTTTCAGAGCAGAGGAACCCAACTGGTTTTTGTGTTGATCTTGTCGAGGGCAACACTGGTTCCAGCGGTTTTCTTGTGGGATCTGTAGTCTGCTCTGTGTAGGATCATAGCTTCCTTCTCTCTGATTTGGGTCCCTTCTATTTCACTTCTTCGTCTTATTCCTTTGGCTGAGACTTGGAGTGTCTTGTGGAATAAGAGCAATGATGATGGACATCTTTCGTTCCCCCTCTCAAAGAGGTTACTGATCTTCCTTTTTCAGCGCCTCTCATATACTTTGAACATTAAAAAGCCAAACTCACTGCTGCCAAGTCAACTCTGAGTCCTAGCAGCCCTACAAGACAGAGTGGCGCTGCCCTTGTGGGTTTCCGAGACTGGAAATCTGTATGGTAGTAGAAAACCTGGTCTTTGTCCCAGACAGTGGTTGCTGGTTTTGAACTGCTAACTTTGTGGTTGGCAGCCGCGTGCATAAACAACTACACTTGCAGGTCTCTAGTCTTAGACTTTAACCCAGGCCAAACTCATACCATCCAGTCAGTGCTGACTCCCAGTGACTCCCCAGGTGGGTTTCTGAGACTGTAACTCTTTATGGGAGTAGAAAGCCCAGTCTTTCTCCCTAGGAGCTGCTGGTGGTTTTGAACTGCCAACCATGCGGATCACAGCCCTACCCGTTGCCACTACACCACCAGGGTTCCATGTGTCATATATGGAAAAATGATGACATAAACAGTCACATACACGGCTATGTTCATCGCTGCTTTAGTCGCATTTGGAAATAACCCAAGGATCTATCCATCAACAGATGAAGAGATAAACAAATTCTGGTGCATGCATCCAACCTTAAAGAATCACAGTGAGGCTGGGGAACAAACATGGATGGGCCTGGGGGGAGGGCATGATGCTAAGTGAAATAAGTCAAGAAGATAACGATCATACAAATAGTGTACGATCCCAAATATAGAGAGATCAGTGTTCGCTGATGGTTACCAGGAAAAGGGTGGTGGTGCAGAAAGTGCATTTTATACAGTCAAAACAAGTCATGTTTGGCAATAAAAGTGGCATTGAATGGGATGTCATGGGCACAGCACAGCCAAAGTCCGAAGGGGTGGCTGATCACATAGGCATGGATCTGGGCACATTAGTATACAGCTGGATAGTTGGTCCGAATCTGCTGCCACTGAATTGTTTCTGACTCTTAGGGACCCCGTACAGGGTTTCCGAGGCTGTGCAACTTTACGGGAAGAGATAGCCTCACGTTTCTTTGCAGGAATGCCTGGTGGGCTTGAAAGTCTGACCTTGTAGTTAGCAGTCCCACACTTACCCTATGGCACCTGTAGGAGCTATGTGTAAATATAAATATGAAGGTACAGGCACATATCCTCAGGGAAGACCCAAATGTGGATGCTCATCAGAAATCCTCAAACACTTTGTGTGATTGGTTTTCTAGGTTTGAAGGTACAGGACACTCGTCTCGAGACAGCTCCATTGACATGACAGTTCATGTTGTGCATCACAGTGAAATAAGTAGTGTCTGGGGTTTAAAAGCCTATGAAGGGCCACCTGAGACACAGCTAGGGGTCCCAACTTGCTAAGAGCAAAAAATAAGAAGGTAACACAAAACACAGAAAATAAGTAAGTTTATAAGAAGAAACACAACCTCATCTACTCTGAAAATGAGAGGAAATAGATGGTGCCCAGCTACCACCACTCACCATTGTGACAGTGACCAAACAAGACTCAAATTCTTATTTTTAAAAAGCGAAACCATCAGGAACAGTAGAGAATAGAGGGTCGTATCCCCTGTCCCCCACTCCCGAGACTATCGCCATGAGACAGTATGTAAATCTAGAACTAAACCTATCCACTGAAAAAGTGGCTTTTTAGTGAAAAAGTGGAGTAGCGCACAAAATAGAAATATTACCCCTAAGTTTGGTGTCCTACCTAAAAAACAACTGTATGTGACCAAAAGGTCAATACTTAGATTAAGACCAAGATGAGAAGAAGGACCGGGACAGGGAAACGAGTACTGGGCAGGGAACTAACAGAGCACAGCTCAGAGCATGCTGACTCTCTGTAATCAACAGGACTAACGCCACTCAGCACGTGCGTGGAAGCGGTCCAACAGGAACCTAACTCGTGTAACCTTTCACCCAAATCTCAATTAAAATCTGTTTTTTAAGGCATATGAGAGTCTGATCAATAGGACTTGGGGGTGTGGAGGTGCATGTAAAAGTCTGATGCGTGGAGAGTTTCCAGGTTTCTGGCTTGAATTCCTTTCTCTGACATTAGTTTAGAATCTTTGGGATAGATTGTTGTTGTTACGTGTCCTTGCGTGGGTCTGACTCCCAGTGACCTGATGTGCAGCAGAAGGCAACACTGCCCAGTCCTGTGCCGTCCTCACAGTTGTCGGAATTGAGCCGTCGTTTGCAGACACAACCACTGGATCACTCCATCTCGCGGGGGGGTCTTCCTCCTTCCCCTCTGCTTTCTTCTCTACCAGGCGCTGAGACTGGGTTCTCCTCGTGACTGCGCCCAGTGCCGGGTCAGCAGGTGGAAGCATTTCCATCGTCGTCTGTCCATTCTTGGGCGTTTTGCACCATTTTTCAGGACAACCTGGACTTGTTGAAATGGTCAGAAGTCGGCCGGTTCTTTTTTGTATAGCGACCCTATATTCCTTCCATCGTGTTTTGTTTGCGTTTACTTTTTATTGTGAATTAAGGTGAGCGTTTCCAGAGCCGACCATGAGTTTTACATGTAAGCATCCTTACGCATTTCGTTCCAACTCATCCATTGCAATGGTCTCAATAGACGCCCCTCTCCCGCTTCCTCCTTGTGTTTCTTATTTCCCTTCCTCCTCTCCTAGCCCTCTAAACTTTGTCTTTGGGTGAATATTGCCTTTTTGACCTTAAATGTTTGATTCTTGTAGCACAGGGTGGGTACACTTCCAGACTGGAAGCTGATCTTTTTTGGGGGGGACAGTCGCCCCAGGATCCAGCCGACCATTCTGCCTGTTTCTTATGATTTTTCATGTTTCACATCTTCTCCCACTTTTCCCAGGATTTTCTAATGTGACCCTTACAGAACATTGATGGTGGGACTGGGCACCATCAAGTTCCTTTCTCCTGAGTGTGGAAACGGATGCATGCATGATCCATGAGTCCGTCTCACCGTTTGTCCCTGACTTGTGATTTTTATCCAGATGGGTAGAGACCCCTAGTTACACCTTAGATGACTGTTCGTGAGCTTTTGAAACTGGTTGCTACTCACCAAAGTAGGGTGTCGACCATTGTCTTTGTGATCTGTATTATGCTCCTGATACCCCGGGCCCAGCAAGTCATCCCCTCAAAGTGTTTGTCTGATTATGTCTAAGACATTTCCATAATGTTATTCCACCACATTAAGGATATCTTTGCAGCAAAAGCACACATACAGATGTCCTCCGTCAAGCTTATAGACATTCATGACTGTGTTCCCACGCTCCATGTCACACCTGTGCAGCCAGCACGTCTATCAGAGTTTCTCCTCAGCGCGCACCACTGTTGCAGGATCGGGTCAGAACAGTATTGGCACTTGTTCCCTTAACCCCTTGCAAGTCTCCCAGTGCCTTCCCCTGTCGCCATCAGTATTGTAAAATGCCTTCTCCTGCACCCAAGTTAATATTTACCCACCTCTCACCCAGTGTGGTGTAGTAGGTTATGTATTGGGCTGCTAACTACAAAAATCAGCAAGCAGTTTGAAATTGCCAACCACTTTGTGGGAAAAGACGAGGCTCTCTACTCCCCTCAACCCAAAATGGCCATTTTGGTGTCTTGTAAAAAGCGTTTTGCAGTTTTGTTCTGGTTTTGTACGGGTCTTCTGTGTCTCTGGTGATAGTTATTCCTAAGTTTGGGGTGGCTATTCCAAAGAGTACCCTTTCCATGGTCCCTGTTCAGGGCCCTTTTTGTTCGCCTAAAGGATCCAACCGACTTCCGTGTGTTGGCCTTAAGCCCTTCCACTTTGCTGAATCTTTCAATGAGTTCCCGCCCTTTTTTTTTTTTGGCTGAGTTTTTGGCATTTTTCCATGTATAAGATTATATTACCTGCAAATACATAAAGCGTCTTTTTCTTTGCAAGTTTGGATACCTTTCTCTTACCTGCTTTACAGATCTGGCTTAAATGTTGAGCACAGTATTGAGCAGGGTGATAATAAAAGGCATCCTTGTGTGATTCCTTTTCTCAAATGAAATTCCTTCAGTTACTCTCCAGTAATGTTAACTGCTGGCTGGAGAGACATATATATCCATAATAAAGATATGGATCCTTTATTATGTCAAGGGGAAATCCCTTTCATTCATATTGTGTTGAATGTTTTTATCTGGAATTCGTGTTGGATTTTGTCAAATGCCCTTTTTTAATATCAGTTGATATGATCATGTGGTTTCCCCCCCTTTGTTTTACGTATGTGATTGATCACATTTTTTCCTAATATTGAACCATCCTTGCATACTTGGTGTGAGTTCTACTTGACCATGAAGGGGTTTTGTTTTTTTCTGTTTGTTTTTCACATATTGTTAGATCCTATTGACTAAGATTTTGGTGAGAATTTTTTCATCTATGTGCATGAAGGATATTGGTATAACTCTGTTTTATAGTGATATCTTTGCCTAGTTTTTAATCAGGGTTATACTTGTTTTATAAAATTAATTTGGGAGTTTTCCTTCCTACTGAAATCGCTTATAGAATTGGTGTCAACACTTCTCTGAGTTTTGATAGAATTCACCAGTGAAGCCATCTAGGCCCAGACTTTTATGATTTCGGTTATGAGGTTTGGTTTTGTTAATTTATTTTTATTTATTTATTTTTTATTCCTCAATTACAAGTATTTTAATGACTTCACTATTTTTTTTGTTAGGGGTCTGTTTAGGCTTCTCCTGTGGGCATGTTAATTTAGGTAGAGAGTGTGTTTCAACCTGCCCGTTTCTTCGCGGTTTACACGTTAGCTGGAACACAGGTGTTCGTTTTATTCTACTCTTGTCCGTTTCATCTTAATTGTTTCTGTTCGACGTCTCCCATTTTCATTTCTTGTTCTTGTTTAACAAACCAACTGTCTGTCAGTTTGTTGTTCCTTTTTAAAGATTCAACATCTTGTCTTGATCATTTTTTCTGTTTTCTGTTTCATTTATTCCCATTCTTATCATTAGTATTTCTTTTCTTCTAGTGGCTGGGCGCTAATTTTGTTGCTCTTTTTCTAATGGCTACAGGTGTTAGATGGGGGTCTTAATTTTGGGCTCTTTTTGATGTGTTTATTGCTATAAATTGTCCTTTGAGCACTACTTTTAATATGTCATGTTTTCATACTAATTGGTCTGGGTCCAGAGATTTTTTTAAAAACCTCTACTTCCTATTTTTCTTCTATTAACCAGAAGTTTTAAGCCGTGTAGTATTCAGTTTCCAAGTATTTTTTTCCTTAATCTTCCTAAAGTTATTTTCCAATTTCTAAAATTTCCAATTTAATTTTCAGTCGTGTGAATATACTTTCCTTCCATCTTCCTGCGAGGCTTCTTGCATCATTATGTATTTTCTCATGTTGTTGTTGTGAGATGCCATCGAGTCCATTCCAAACCGTCGTGAGCCAGTGTCCAGCAGAACAAAGCACTGCCCAGCCTTGCACCGGCCTCACAATAGTGCTTATAGGCACCTTTACTACTGCAGCCCGAGTCTTGATTGTCTCCTCCCCGCCATCCCACCCGCCAGTTCTTTCAGCTTGAGAAATTCTGAGCATGTTCTTGTCATTTGGTTTTCTAACTCCTGATCGTTGCACATTTCTTTATAATACTTTGCCTTCTCAAGCTGCCCCTTGAAAATTTTGGCTCAACTCTTTTACTTTCCTATTTAGAATGTATATGCATTGAAATTTGTTGCCTGTATAGACATTAGCTGGCTTCTAAACTTGTCCTCCACTTCCATGTCTCCTGTTTCCTCCCTCTTTCACTAGACTTAAGAAATCCTAAGGAACTAGATTAAAACCCAAACCAAAGCCACTACCATTGAATCGATACCGACTCATAGGGACCCTCTAGGACTGCCCCTGTGGGTTTCTGAGACTGTAACTCTTTACAGGAGTAGAAAGCCCCATCTTTCTCCCACAGAGTAGAGCAATGGGTTGTTTTGAACTGCTGATCTTATGGTTACCAGCCCAATGCATAACCATTATGCCACCAGGGATCCAAAGATTGTAAATAATAAAATCCAATGTCAGCGCTTAAATTCTGATCGCTTGTTTTTCAGAAGACTATGGATGACAGTGAAAACCCAAAACCCTTTCGCAAGCTCCCTGGTTAAACCTGCGATGAATCCCCTCTGGCAATAGTCCGGGGCGTCAATAGCCTTGCTATCAGATAGCATTGTAAAGTCAATAATGGCAGATTTAGTTAAGTCACAGTGTAACACTTTATCCTTTGTTCTCCTTTACGACCCATTTTAAAGTTGTTTCCAGTTCTAATATTTTCTGCTTCCTTTTCGATTGAGGTGTTCCTCTGGTTCATTTTATTGTTATTGTTGTTGTCTTATTAGTGTTTTGGATAATTTTCTGTGTATAAAATCCAGTTTAGGTAAATCTAAAGCAACAGTAACTGGATTAATAATTAGCTAGGGGCATGGCAGGGGAGGAAAGGTGGGAATGAGGAGCTAACAACAGTAAGTACGAGAAAGAAGAAAACGTTTGAAATTGGTGATGACTGAACAGCTCGTCTTAATATGGTTAAACCACTAAATTGTATGTTAGGTGAAGTAGACGCCAATAAAACGTAAAAAATAAAGGAAGAATTGTTTCTTAGAATGTGATATTCAAACTTGAAGGATTACAAGTTCAGACGAATGAAGTGTATCGTGTCCCTGGGTCCCTCTGGAAAACAGCTTCCCTCAGTACCCTTTCCTTTTCTGTCTTCTCAGGGAGGTCCATCTCGTTAGCCCTTCCAGGCCTCTTTCTCTCCCCCAAAGAGGGGTGGAGAGGGGACGTGCTGTGACGGTGACCCAAAGTAATAAGAGCTAAGAGTTATAAACTTCAACGAAGCATCTCCATTAAGCCTCATATTATTTTGCAGTACATTTTCTGAATATGTTTGGGTACTGCCCCCGCTCCAGCTCATAAGAGGTAGGGCGGTGTAGTGAATGATAGGGAATTCCTGGGTGGAGTAGAATCCTGGCCCCGAAGCTATTGTTTCGTAATAAATTGGTTGACTGTACAGTGCTGGTTATAGCATTTCAGGAAATGAGGGAAGAGATCCGTGGGGGCTGGTGGCCTACAAAAGCGTGAAAGCTAGGTATTGAACCGAAAGACAAAGGCCATAAAAGTAGGTGCAGGTGAGTAGGGGGCTGAGCAAAGTCACCAGAAGAACAAGAGAAATGGACCACAGATGGAAGATTGAGTATCTTGGGCCTATAAATGACCGTGTGAATGAGGAAACCATTAAGAAAGGAAAGAATTAAACCTTCCTGAACAATCATAAAGGATTGCTTCTGAAAGACTGAAGAAAGTTTAAAGCCAGATCTGTAACAGAAAGACGAGAATAAAGGCCCAGACAGTGCCATTGCTGTTCTTGTTTATGACGTCAGCTGCAGGGAGCCAGGGATCAGGTTCTCCAAGGAAAGATGAAGGCGAGGAAGACAAGGGGATGCTGAGGACCCTGCCAGGTTGGCCACAGCTTTGGGGCGCCGCCCCCCCCACTCCCCCGCGTACACCGTGTGTCATTCCTGGGAGGCTCTGCCCCGTTTCTGCTCCCTCATGATGTCTGTCCCCGTTGCACCAAACCAGAAGGATCTTCCCCATCTGGAGCCTCAGCCACACCGTGTCACCCGTGACTTGTCATTTTCTTGTGTTCGCCACTTCCATTTCCTTTTGTCCTCTGTTGTCCACAGTGGCACCTAGTCCAAGCTGACGAGCCAGCGCCTGTGCTCAGGGCCATAGTGAGCCCCCTGGTCCCCCGAGTGGGCCCAGGTGTGGGCCCTTCTCCTGGTTCGGTGCACTCTCTTGCTCCTCCACCCCCTGCCTGCCTCTGCGTCATCTTGATTGAAACGTTGCTTTTGGCATTTATAAGTCACTCAAATCAGCACTCGGCTGGCTTCCCCTAAAGCACTCTTGATGCATCCAGCCTCATTCCTGAGAACCATGAGCCTTGGGGACGGCTGGACCCAGACCTCTGGTCTCTCCGACAGCACCTTCTAAGGGCCTAGGCCCAAGCTAGTAGCTCCAGAAGTTACCCTCCTCCCACCCCCGTCAAGGGCATTTCTGAGCCTTCCCTCTCAGCACTCTCTTCCCTCTGATGTTTGGCCACCTCTCTGGGCTGTTCTTACAATACTAAGGAAAGAAGGAAGGAAGGAATTGAGGGAGGTGGGAGAAAAGGAGGGAGGGAGGTGGGAGAGGAAAAGAAATGCTACGCTCTTCTACCAGGAAGCACCTTGTACATGGCGTTTTAGGTCATTTCCGTCTCCTTTCGGTCTCCACAGGGCTGCAGGATACGCTTGCTCTCTGGAGGTGTGTCTTCGCCCTCCTCCAGAGTGAGGAGCAGGTCGTCAGAGATGCCGCTGCGGAGGTCGTGATGGCTGCCCTGTCGCAAGGAAATGCTGCCCAGTCAACAGGTAGCTAGCTCATGGGGATCCTTTGCCTTGCCTTCTTGCCCAGGACAAGGGTTGGCGAGCCTTTGCTGTGTGTGGCCGGACCGTGAACGCGTCAGGCTTTGTTGGCCCTTTGGACCCTGTCAATGCTGCCGTTTCAGTATGAAAGAGACTGTCCTGGTTTCCCAGTGCTGCTGAACAGAAATGCCACAAAGGGGTGGCTTTCGCCGACACGGCGGTTTGCTCACACTTCGTGCACTTCCTTGGAGTTTCTGGGCTTGTCGACGCATCTGCCTCTGTTGTGGCCACGTAGCCTGTCTTCCCCATATGTGAATACGGTGCTGTTTACATAGCTCCGAAGAGGTTGGGTGTAAGATCCACCCTAACCTGGTCTGATCTCTACAAATGGAATGATTCAATTCGGTTAGATTTACATTACAGAAAATGATCACATTCCATTACATCTGTAGATCTAAGGGTTAGCATTCCAACATGTATTTTAGGAGGGCACCATTACCATTTAATCCATAGCCGCTAGGTACCACATGGACAGGGCTGTTTCAGTCAAACTTTACTTACAAAAACAGGGAACTGGCCAGCTTGAGTCTGCTAGTGCTCGTTTGCTGACTGCTGCTTTAGGACACCACAGAGAAAAATTATTTTCAGAGGCAGAAATCTAAGAACTAGTATGATGATAGGACCCCGGAATTGCAGGTCCATTGTTTCAGACTCACCTAAATGTCTACACTTGGCCAAAGCACCTGGTCTATGTTCAGTTTCTCTTCTGTTTGCCTGGCTCCTCGATGGTGGGGACGTTGACCGCGAATCACAGGCGGAGCTGATAGTCCTGCAGCCTGAGTTGCCTGTCTGCAGCCACAGGTGCTGCGGAAGCCAAGGAGAATGCTGGCCGTAGGTGGAAACTGTGTTACTGGCTAGAGTGACATGTCAGGTCACACCCGTGGACAAGTGGCCTTCAGGGAGAGTGGGTGCCTTGGCTGGGTGTCAGGGGACATCTCTGGTCAACCCTCTCAAAGAGAAGCCAGAACAACATGTTGAAGCAAGTCATCCGAATCTGGACAGCGGAACGGGAGGGAGCATTCTTGCTGCTGTTCCGCAGAATGAAACAGTGTCCCGTCCTGCGCCACCCTCCCCATCATTGTCATGCGCACACGATTACAGCCACCACGTCCATCATCTTGTTGAGGGGCTTCCTCTTTGTCACTCACCCCACTTGACCCAGCAGAACGCCTCCTCCAGGGTCTGAAGCCTTCTGACGACATGTCCAAAGTACATGCGATGAAGTCTTGCCTTCTCGATTCTAAGGAACTTTCTGGCTGTACTTCTTCCAACAAGACTGACTTGTTCTTTTGGCAGTCCACGGGACTTTCAGTATTCTTCACCAACACCAGAGTTCAAATGTATTGATTACGCAGTGTCCAACTTTCACCTGCATCTGAGGTGATTGGAAATACCATGGCTTAAGCCAGGTACACCTCAGTCTTCACAGCCACATCCTTGCTGTTCAGCACATTGAAGAGGTCTTACACAACAGGGACAGGGACCCTGAGGGTGTGGCGTTGGGCTGCTAACTGTAAGTTCGAAACCACCAGCTGCTCCGTGGGAGAAAGACAGGGCTTTCTACTCTTGTAGAGTTAGCAGTGTCGGATTCACAGGGCCGGTTCAACCCAGTCCTGTATGGTTGTTTTGAGTCAGCATCCCCTCGATGGCAGTGGGTTTGGTTTGGTTTATGCAGCAGGGAAGGGACTAATCACCCAATTTGTGACTGAATCAGGGCCCAAGCTCTGCAACCCCTCTTCTTTGTGACTTGGGCAGCTTACCGTGCTGATCCACAGTGCTGTGGTCCCTGGAAGCCTCACTTGAGATGTGTGAGCATCCCTATGTCCGAGTCTTCAGTCAGAACGGTCATGTGCATGTCTCAGCCGCGAAGGCAGAGGTCGTGTTTGAATAATGGCTCTGTGACACTCCTCCGGGGCAGCTTGACTCTCGGTTGGCTTTGCCTCTCAGCGGAAAAGCAGCCTGGTGCTGCAGTGACATTCTGCGCTCCTTCCTGTTTCCCACCGCCGGTCTTCCTGAGAAGGAAAGGCCAGGCCCCCATGAGTGAGTGCTCAGGAAATATCTGATGGAATATAATACGACTTAGTAGGTTTTCATAGGACTCTCTTCGCCAAAGATGGAAAAGATCACTTCATAAAGCAATTGACAGGTAGAGTTGTTCCCTCTGAATCTTTCATCTGTAACCTTTTATTTCTGTCACAACGCGTTTGTGTTGGCTTGTAGTAAGAATATCCACATGCTGCCCTGTTCTCCCTCCTCCTCTTACCCTTCCCCCCCCCCAAAAAAAAATCACCTTCTTCCACCTGGAAAAGACTAGCTTGATCTTTCTCAAGGAATGGGAAATCAACTCAATTCAGTAATTATCTCTAAGTGCCTGCGATCCACATGGCGTCAGTTCAAAGCCACCAGCAGCTTCCTGTAAACTCCGTAAGCAGTTAGAGTCTTGGGACCGCACAGGGGCTGCTGTCAGCTGGTCCTAACTGGGTGGCAGGGAGCGAGAAGTCGCCTGCTGCGTAGAAAGTCTCACGTGTGAGAGCCGCTGAAAGGGACCAGTCATCTCAAAGCTACTCGCTGTAGCATTTTTCTCTTTTTAAAAATGTGTATTTGTGATGTGAGAAGGACACAGATTTTAGAGCCGCTGAATCCAGCACGTTACCATGAGCCAGTCTGCCGTGGGAGGGAGTGAAGCCCCACAGGAGCTTATTGAACAATTGGCACAAGGTTAGGCTTCCTAAATGTGCCGACCACACCGTGGTTTTGTAAGGTGCCTTCATTATCTACTGCTGCCATATCAGAAATACCACAAGGTTTACCCAACTAGTTTATTTGCTCACCGGTTAGGAGGGTGGAAGTCCAAAGTTAGGTTGTTGGGCCTAGGTCCTAGGGGCAGGGTCTGGAGAAAGGCCTTTGTCTCTTCAGCTTCCTGGGTCCTCAGAAATCTCCAAGAGTGTTGACATCTTCTCACCCATTCTCTGCTCACTGGATGGCTGGTTAAACCTCTTTTATATCTGAAAAGAGGTTGATTTACAATGCACCCTACACTAATCCTGCCCTATTAGAATAACAAAGACACCCATTCCCTGCGGGATTATAACCGCTGGCATGGAAGTTAGGATTTACAACACCTATTTGGGAGGATACAGTTCAATCCATGAGGTAAAGGAATATCTTTGTTCTTAAAAGACAGAACTGAAATCTGAAGGGATAAAGAGACATTTGCGGGGGGGCGGGGGGGGGGGGACACCAAACAAAAGTAGGTGTGCATTTAAGTATTAAACATAGAGAGGGGAGGGGAGGGGAGCGTGTAAAGCACTGTCCTGTGGTATGTTTCTATGATGTTTGAAATGATTTCAAAATAAGTTAAAACATCCCATTTCACAACTAGACCATTAACTACTCAGTGCCCAGAGAGCTCCTCTTCTGCCTTACCTGAAAAGCATCTGTCCCCTACCCTTTCTTACGTGGATTCCTGCATCCCCCAAAATAAAATTCAAGTCAGACTTTCTAAACTCGAAGGTGGCAGCAAGGTCATGTCCCCATTGTGGCATGGTTCAGGCCTATGGGCAACCCTGCCACACAGCCCACACCGCTCGGTTCTCCCCACCCTTTGACCTGGAAGCAGTAGTGAGGACAGCCTCACGCGGCGCTTTCCCTTTCATCCGAGCTGATGCTCAGAACCTGGTGGCCCTACCATCCCTTAAGGAGAGCAAGCAGATAGTGCAGCTTGTCTGTCACAGCCCCTCAGCACGTGAGTTGTGTCAAATATGGAGCATTTTGTGGGATACACAGCGAAAGGGTTCCTCGTTGGTATTCCAAGTTAATTATTGCTATTGAATCTTGACTGCTTTAGAAGTACCTGCTGATCCTTCCCTGAGCCATGCCTTCCCCCCACAACAGTGGTTTAATCAAGGCCACCATAAAATGTTATTATTCAACTATATGCATATTTGATCTCTTCTTTGAGAAGTCGGAATTATAATGAAAAAATTTAAACTTAAATCTCACATTTCCTTCTAAAACACACACACTCCCTGTCAGAGATCTCGCACTATCAAGGGCTGGATACAGAGAGCAGTTGCCTTGCCTGTGTACCTGCTTGTGGCCAGGCTGTTGGGGGGGCCTTGGGAAGTGTAAGACCCAGCCCAACTGTAAGGGTCTGCAGGGAAAGTGAGGGTGACCTCACCCACAAGGAGGCTGAAACCTGGCACGGGGGTGTTAGAGGGGGTGTTAGAGCTGGTTGGGGAGCAGTGAGTGGACTTGTATGGCCAGAGCACAGGCTGGGGTCCGACAGAGGAGAGAGATGGTACCTGAGGACAGGAGTGGGAGGACCCCTAGGCAGATGGGATCACCCACACTTGGGGCGATCCCCCATACTTGCGACGGCCGTGAAGGAAAAGCCAAGGCACACAGAGCCTTCTGACGGGCTGGAGGCCAAGGTGGGCTCTGAACAGCTGCAGCAGGGGCCTCTCAGGCAGCAGCCAGCATCTTGTGAGACCCACTGGGCCTGAGATGGGAGGGAGAGGGCTCCTCCCCGGCTCTCTGCAGCAGTGACGGGAGGCGGGAGAAGAACAACACCTAGGCGTGGAGTATTGGGGATCAACTCAACAGTGTGAGGGTCCGTGCTTGTGAGAGGGAGGGAGAGCCTGAAAGGATCAAGGTTTCAAGCCTTTGGGGGGGATCCAGGGAAGACCTTAACTGTGCTTCTGGCACTAAAGTACAAGTAGGCCTGCAGCCTTCCAGGAAGGGACGCGACCAGGAACCAGGAGAGGCCACGGGTCATTGTGATCTGGGACAAAGTATGTGTGTCTTAGGCGTTGGAGAGATTGACAATGGAGAGGGTGAAAGAGGACCTGGACCACAGTGGGAACAGACTGAACTGTCCAGCCTCTGCCCTGCCCTGGGCAAAGCACACAGAGTGCTTCTGGGAAGCCCCAGCACTCCCTCACCGC